CAGACCGGTGGGGGCGGCCTTACTGCCGGCCGGATAGCGCCTCCGCTCGCAGGCAGAGGAAGCCAGGAACGGGCTGGCGAGGCGGCTGCGAGGGATACAGACCCCCTTCGTGTGGATACGGCTCCCCCACCCCCTACCAGCACCAGGGGCCCAGCACCTCTGGCAAGTCCTGACTGTCCACGGAGGAAGAGGAAGGGCGCGAGGACCGGCTCCAGCCTCGGAGGGTACGAGCAGATCCCAAGGAAGAGAGAGAGAGGCCCCGAGGAAGTTCGATCCACTCCACAGCCCACGCGGGGTCCGAGGCCACTGAGGGGTGGGGGAAACGCTGTTCAGCTGGGCTCCCACTTCTGCCAAGATCCCCCCCCTTTTCATCCGGTGTTGCCACATCATTCCTCCTCCCCCTCCCCCACCTCCCAGAATACCAGCAACCAACCACCTGGTGCTCCCGCAACTCTGAAAGCCCCTCTCCCACCACCCCTAACCTTTCTGCTCCTGAGGCCATTTTGTGGCAGCCACTGACCACCTTCCTACACTGGATATATTTTGCCATTAAAGCCCTCGGGATGAAACCTAAACTTTGATAAATTCTCAGCCTACCCATTCCTCTTGGAAAGCACACCTCATTCATCCTTCCACCGCCATCCCCGGCCCCCTCCCCACCACCATCTTGGGCCCTTTGCAGGCTTGCTGCCTTCCTGCTCTTGGTTCTTTCCTCTCGCCGGGCTCAGCTTTACTCTTCTTCTCTGACAAGCCCATGATTTTTTCTTTCGTCCCAGTCCCCTAAGGCTGTTTCCTGATGGCCTGTCTGGCCCCAGCCTGGCTGTTCCTGTTTCAGCCTGGTTCCCAATATCGAAGCCAAAGTAATTTTCCTCTTGCCACCTGAGCACCCTACTCCTCAGGTTCCCATCACCTCCCAGATCACATCTACAGTCCCTGGTCTCACCTCTGCGACTTGTCTGACAAGTCCATCGTCCTCCAGGCCCTTCACGCTGCCAAAGAAACATTTTGCCCAGCACAGAAATCATGGGCATGCTGGCTGTACTGATGCAGAGAACCGAAAGCCCAGAACTGCTCCAGGCTCAGCTCCCAGTTCTATTCCTATTTTGGTTCCGGATGTGGAGCCGTTCTCCTCCCCACTTGGAACCTGTTCCTAGTCACATAAGGAAAGTGTTCCTGTCTCATGGCTTTGAGGAGGTGGGAGTGCCAGGGGCCCAGCCAAGCTCTGTGGAGCTCAGCTAGCTGAGGCCCTTCCCCTAGGCAGTGCCAACAGGCAATGTATATCACAACTGACCTTTAGCTGGAGCAGCCGTCTCTGTCCCTGGACCTCATCCAGCTGGTGGTTCCCAGAAATGCTACCAACCAGAAGACAGACACAAGGTTACAGGCCATCCCTGGCCCCAGCTGGTACCTAATCCTGAGGTCAGCCAAACTCTCCCCTGACTACAGGAGGGAATGACTTCCTGAGCTCCAAGCCGTTACAGGGCCAGAGAGATGAGAGCAGCCTTATGCTTCTCAGCTTCAAACGCTGAGGCTAATGTGGCACTACAAATCCCAGAATTCCTCATGGGAACCCAAGGAAAGTACAAATCTGAGTCTTAGTTCCACAGGACCTCAAGTACCAACCACACAAAGGCCTGTGTGACTGACCCACCTACGCTGAAACCCAGGACCCATCAGAAACCTAGCCCTCAACATCTTAAGTTCCTACCTGGCCTTAGGCTTGGCGAAATCCATGACACTGAAGTAGAGTGGCCAACCTCAGATGCACAGGACTAAGACCAGGCCCCAGCATGCACCATCCAGGGGAACCAAGGCAAGGGTCAGCAGTTGTGGGAAGGAAGACCTGATGGCCTCCCTTTAGGCTCCTGTTTCCCTCCTCAGGGTAGGGTGATTTGTTGTTATTGTTATTGGTGCGAGTAGGGGAAGGGAACTAAAAGAGTTGTAAGAGGTGAGAGGTGATCAGGTGCACACAGGTGCCCCAAGTTGGGTCTCAGTCCCGTTCATCAACCATCTGACTCTGAAGTGGGGAGTAAGGTTTAATTAAAAATTCCCTGGTAGGGTACTTGGCCAGCGTTTGCAGGCTTAAGGAGGTTGGGACACAAACAGGAGAGGCAGGTTCTCAGGATAGGGCCATTCCCAGGACAGCAAGAGAGATGTAGGAATTAGGTGGTGATGGTGATGAGTATATGTGGGTGGACAAGGACAGTCGCCATGGGCTGGTGAGGATTGACTAACCCCTCCCCAGGCCATGCGCCTCCTGCCACCCTCAGCGGTGGGAATCCAGGCGGAAAGACACGAGTCCACCCTGCAGAGCCCAGAAGCAGGCAGGCCCTGGGACCGAACCCAAGTTGATTCAGCCCTCTCCCCGCTCAGGCCTGCTCCACTCCCTCCTCTAGCCTGGCCCGCCTCCCTGGCGCAGGCTCCTCCCTCTCCCGACGCCGGCCCCTTCCTCAAGGCCCCGACCCACCCGCGCACCGCGACCGGTCTCCCCGACCAGTGCCCGGCCTCTTCCCCTGACCCGCCGGGCTCCGAGAGCCGATACAGCCCATGGCCGGGAACCCAGGCACGCTAGCCCGCGCTCGGGACCCGGGCCATCGGCTTGCAGAGGGTCGGGCCGCGGCCGCCACCAGGGAGGGGGAAACCCGTCAGGGGGGGGGGGTGGGAACCGCGCATCCGCCACCGCTCCCGGGAGAGGGAACCGGCCCGGTGACGTCAACGCGGGGGGCGTGACCGTTCACGTCACCACCTAAAGTGAGCGGGTGGGCGGGGCCGTGCCGGCGTCAGGGCCACGCAGGGCCGGCGTCTGGAGAAGCTTGTCCTCTGCTCCCAGGCCCAACCACGGAGTGACCCTTAAGGCGGGTGGAGCGGGGTAGGGTAGGGGAGTCGACGTGTCTTGGCGGGATTGACGGGGCCAGGCTGCCCGTAGCACTGTATGGGGCCATAGGACCTCACTGCATCCAACTCCCTCGTTTTATAGATGAGCCCTTGAAACCAGAAAGGACTCGCCGGTTATAACCAGCCTGAAACTCATGACCACCTCCACGCAAGAAGGGTTTGGGTCACATTGTGCTAGGAAAGTGAAACCAGCCAAGTGTATTCTACTAAATACCCCACAGCTATTGTCTCCCTCTCCCCTCCTAACCAACAGGGCACCCAACCACATCCACTTCAAGGGCCACCCTCCAAGAAAGTGACTCCCAGCTTCCACAATCATGGACAGGGGAAGAGGTAAGAGGGGTGCCAAGTTCTAGGAAGCTGCTATAGTGCCAGCTCTGGAAAGGAGGCTGCCCGCCGATCCATACCCCTTCTCCGAGGGAGAAGGCCATAAAGCAGAGGCAGTGAGCTTAATTGAATTCATGTTTAATAATTACAGGCACCGTGCCCCCCCTTCCCCCTGCCCAGGCAGCAGCAGGGGTGGTGCAGGGGCTGGGGCATATGCCACCAGCAGTGAGAAAGGCAGTCACAAGAGTGATTTTCAGGAAATAAAAAATGGACCCCAGGGGCAAGCAGTGGTGCCCCCCCAAGACACACCAAATTTCAAGACTTTATATATAATATATCTCTGTGTCCCAGGGGGAGGAGAGGGACACCTGGCAGCATCCTGGAGGGGGGCCCCAGGCAGCCCCACGCCATCCTGCCTCTTCAGCCACTTTATTAGCTCAGACACATCGCACTACAGGCACCCACTGCCACCGCCGCTGCTGCTGACCCCCCTGCAGTCCGGGCGGCTGGCTGGGCCATCCGAGTGTCCATGGGGTTCCAAGTCCCCGACCCCACCAGCCCTCAGTTGTGGTCGGATTCCTCCTCCCCCTCACGAAGCCACTTGAAGAAGCCTGTGACAGATTTAAGGGCCACGCCCTTGCCCTGCTGCTCAGCGGGGTCCTTGCTACTCTCCCAGCTGTAGAAGGCGTCTTCCTTCAGCACATCCTCATCGTACAACGCATCAAAGAACATCCCAAGCAGGTCTGCAAGGTAGGACAGGTGTAAGAGGTGTGCTGCCCACAGCCACCCCATCCCACCCACAGGAATCCCTCCCAAGCTCCACTGTTAAAACATGGCCCTTGACCCACTGTCCAGACATCTATCTTTGACCATCTCAGAGTGACTAGGTCTTTGACGGGACGCTAACCTCATGATCTAGAGAGACTGGTGCGCAGGAATGAGTCACTTAGCCAAACCTTACAAACCTGCCTAGCTTCACTCACCTCGGCAGCTTCAAATTTCTTCACTTTAATAATATAATTAACGGGGAAAACTATGTAAAATTGGTACTCCTGAATTTGGAATCACAATCCCAGATGTATCACTCACAATTCAAGGGTATAACCTAAACATCTACTGGCCCCCATTACAGATCCTGACAAACCTGATTCCTTTCCACCTTCTGAACATAACACACCCTCTCTGGCCTTGACATTTTTCTATGTGCTACATCTTTTGCCAGGAACATCCTTTCTCTTGTCACCTTCCTAGTGAATTCCTTTAGGCTCAACTCAAGCACCCCTGCGTTCTGACCCTCTTTCTCCCTCACCCCTAGCCTTCCTAAGCACTTGTCCTACAACCCTGAACACAACCTACTTCCTTCCCACACTGCACTACCGGCATTTCCAAAGCAAACTTTATATTCCTAAAAGTAGTGAATATATTTCTTCCGGAAAAAGAAATTAAGCCCTGGCCGGTTTGGCTCAGTGGATAGTGTTGGTCTGCAGACTGAAGGGTTCCGGGTTCAATTCCAGTCAAGGGCACATGCCCGGGTTGCAGTCTCAATCCCCAGTAGGGGACATGCAGGAGGCAGCCAATCAATGATTCTCTCTCATCATCGATGATTCTCTCTCATCATCAATGGTTCTCTCTCTCTCTCCCTCTCCCTCTCCCTTCCTCTCTGAAATCAATAAAAACATATATACATAAATATAAAAGAAATTAATATAGCCCTGACCAGGTAGCTCAGTTGGTTAATGGCGGCCTGATACACCAAGCTTGAGGGTTCGATCCCCAGTCAGAGCACATAAAAGAATCAATGAATCCATAAATAAGCAGAACAAATTGATGTTTTCCTCTCTCTCTCTCTCTAAAGAATCAATATATTTTTTTTTAAAGAGAGAGCAATGAATAAACCATAGAATGTAGAGCCCAGTTCATTTGTGAAACTCTGACTGAGCTGCCTAAGAAGCTGCAATCCAGGATGCTCTTAGGGGCATGCACACCCTCAAATCTACAACTGCTTGCCTGTGGGCAGCCTCCCCTCCCCATCCCACAGCAATGGCAGCAGTATATCATTTGTCCCAAACCTGTGCTCTAAATCCTTTGCACACCCACCCTGGGGACCCTATACACATAATCTGCCCTGTATTTTCAAGCCTAAGTTTCTCTGATCTCAACACAAAAGGCCTCCTTTACAACCACTATGTCATAACCAAACAAAATATTTTCGTATTTTGACAGAGATTGATTTCAAAGATTTTTGTTTACATTTGCTGTTTTCTTTTGTTAGTCAAATACTACTCAGTCCTTTTCAATTAAGATCCTGCACTCTACTCCACCAAATAATGATTCTGCCAGGATGGCCTCCATGTTTTTATGCTGCAGAAGCCCTTAATTTTCAGGTCACCTCATGGAGTTCTTAAGCAGCATCTAGCATTACTGACCACTTCCCTCTCCTAAAATTATTGTCCTTCATTTATAGGGTCCTGTCCTGCTTGATCCCTATCTGTTGATCCTTCACCTGAAGGTACTATCTCAGGCCCTCATCACTCTCCCTCAGGCAATCCCGTATCTTTTTGTTGTTTTTCTACTTGTGACTTGCATGTGTTGTTGCCCTGTGCTAAAAATTCACAGGTAGACCTCTATCCCTGATCTCTTCCTCTCCAAATGAATTCAGATATCCAGCTGTCTACCAACATCTCTGATCACCCCCACCCACAGACCACAAACTCAACTTGATCCAGTGTTTCCTACCACTCAATGGATGGTACCACACTATCACCTCACCTACTAAACACTAAAAACCTTCCTGGGAGGCATGACTCTCATCGCCCTCTCCCAGGTCAGTGTATGTCTTGAATCTGCCCACACCTCTCCCATCTCCACAGCCAGACTGAGCCACTACCAACACATCCTGGATTAGCTGAACCTACTGCATTCACACTCACCCCTATTCCAAACCATACTCTTCCCCTAATAGCCAGATCTAAAGACTGAATTAGAATTATTTAATTTTGCTTAAGCCCCACAAAGGCCTCTTCTTGTCCTTTGGCTAAAGCCCAAAACTCAACCCCTGGCTTACATAGCCCTGCATGATCCAGCCCATGTCCATCTCTCGACCCCATTTTACCTCACATGACTGGTTTCTGTGCTCTCCCACAATGGTCTTCCTTCAAGTTCTTTTACCTCTGTCCAGTTCTTCCTACTTCATGGCCTTCTACACAGTTCCTTTTTCCAAGTCTCCCCCTCCTACTTGTTATTTAGCTCCCATTTGTCAATTCCCACTCATTATCCCTTAGACCAGTGGTTCTCAACCTTGGCTGCACATTAGAATCACCTGGGAATCTTTTTAAAATCCTGATTTCTGGGCCTCATCTGCCTTAGACCAAGCATGTCAAAATCTCAGCCAGCTGAACCAAGATTTTGACATGCTTGCCTTAGACTAAGTGTACTAAGGATCCATCTTCCAACACTCCTCACTCCAGGTCAGCATGGGAACTGTGCTTGATTTATTACTAACATCCCAGGGCCCCAACACCTACCTATTTGCAGAATGCATAACCTCAGGAATGTTAACCTGACCCTCAGTCTCCCAAAATGGAAGAGGACAACACCATCTATTCTAAAGAATAGTTGTGAGATTAATGAGGCAAGAAAAGCATCTCAGCCCTGTGCCTGGCAGAGGGAAAAAACATTTATCAGCTCTGCATTCCTGACATCTAATAGTTGGCTAAGCACAAAACAGGTGGTCACACCTTCAAGGCTGAGTCTAACTCCTCCCATTTGTAGACAAGGAAACAAACACTGTAGAGGGAAGGAATCAACCATCAGAGCATTTTGCTCTCCAATGACCACCCACCTTTCCATGACTGTCCCCGCTTTCTGGCGGTTCTTCCACCCCACCCCCAACCCTCCAGCCTGGCTCTTACTGGGGGGCTGTTCTAGGGTCACTACAAGGGCCTGGAGGGCATAGAGTGCCTGCAGCTCCTTCTGCTCATCACATAGGTATTTCTGTAGCAGTTTCGCTCGTGCTTTCAGCACTGCAACATCCACTCGGAGGGTAGTCTCAACTACGGGAAGAAAGACAGGGATAAGTGGGATAATGCACCCTCATTCTGGTTCAAAACCAGGAGGCAAAGACCAAAACCTCCCTCCCTCCATTTGTCTGTTGGGCCCACCCTTGCCCCACCATCTCCCTGGCTCCTCTTACAGATAATTGCGGAATAGCAGACAGTTTTCATGAGGGCTCGAACTAATGTGTTGGATGCTA